CCTTAAAAGCTCTGTGGATGAATTTAAGAAGCAACACTGCAAAGAAGAGTGGAGTAAAGTTCCTTCACAATGATGGCAGAGACTAATGAAGTCATACAGGAAACAATTACTTTGTGTTATTGCTGCTAAAGGTATTTCTACAAGCTACTGAATCACTGGGTGTGCTTAGTTTCTGACAGGACTGTTTCTGGATCTTGGTTTAGTTTTTTGTCACAACACAGTTTAATGTGAGAATGTTGTTGTCCTTCATTATTATGCATTATTAAAACATCATCTTTTTGTATGTTTGTTCTTACTGAAGTGCCGTTGGCATTATAGACAGTAATGCTTATGTACAGGTTTGTTTTTTGTTTTTATCTAAATATTCCTCAAATGAAAAAGAAATTCTCTTTTGCAGCAATCTCTTGAAAATGGTATTTCTTTGTGTATCCAGATAATGACCTTTATTAGTGAATAAATAAAGAAATAACAAGGTTTATGTCTTTCATTTTGGGCTGCTTCACTGGAACTGAATTTCAATGGGTTGTATTTCTTTTATCAATTTTGGCACTATATAATTTTTCTCTTGAATACGTTTCTGTAATTAATTGGTTTTGCTGGAGGCAATGACAACTACTGCTGCACAGCTCTCCTTCTTCTTTTTTTTAATTCAAAACACCTCACTAGTGTTGTTTGAGGTTGTTGTACAATTGTTTTTTTGAGCTTTTTGAGCTTTTGAGCTGTGAGGATTTTTTTTTTCAGGGAACTATTTGACAAATACCAGGAAACATGAAGTGTGCTTTACTTAATGAACAACAAAACACTCACTGAATCACTGAAAAACATAAAAAATCCAAAGCAGATGATTAAAAAAATGTTTCCTAAGTCGGTGCAGAGATAATGTCATACCTTTCTTCCAGGCTATCAACATATTCCCTTTTCTTCTTCCGACTTTCCTGAGCTGAGCGCTTGTTGCGGATTTTCCGCCGGATCTTTTTCAAAACTCTCTCTTCAAACTTGTCAGGGAGATGAAACACATGGGAGACCAGGACAAGAGAGAATAAAGAAAAAGGTATGTGAGATGAAACTAGGTTGAGAGAGGTGTGTGTGTGTTTGTGTGTGTGTGTGTGGGGGGGGGGGCATCATATCTGGCTGACTTTGTGTAACTGGGGATACAGATTTAGATCACGAGTGTGTGTTTGTGGATGTGTTTGGAGCATGCTTGTGCAGAGACGTCTGCCCTACATACATGTGTATATCGCTCATGTACCTTGGACAGAGGCAGCCTGCTGGGCAAGTTTACCCCTTCTTTAGCCAGAAGCTTCTTCTCATCCTCATTAAGTACAAGCTCCCGCAAGGAATGCTGGGGGATTCGCTGCGCCTGTGAACCAGATGGACAGAATTCATTTCACTTAAAGTTACTCTATTTGCAGCTTTCCCCAAGAAGGCACAGGCAGATAATAAAATTCTCCTTCAGTCAGAGTTGGACAGGACACCACACGTATTTTAATTTTCAACACAATTATAAAACCCTTCTTACTTTGTCTCCCAGGTTGGATAACAGCAGGTCCTTCACGGTGAGAGAATGGCTGGGTGGTTGCAGAGGATTTTGGTTTGTGGTGAGGTAGTATGAAATTCCGATATCCTCATCTAAGCTGCCAGACTCACAGCCTGCATATTAAAGCAGAGAAAACAGTACATGGTTTACAAAATTGCTTGTATTTGCAGTTCAAACAAAACCCACCACAAAACGTCAGTCATTGCAGCATCTTTCTGTGCTTTAAAAGCACTTTGCAAACACACAATGCTGCACGGGTTTTTAGGCATTTTAGACACTTGGATTCCTGTCCATCCTGTGGCACCACCAGGGAGGAGACTGATCATGCCTGCACCAATTATGCACCAGATGTCACAGTCCCTATCAAGCTCTTGTCTCATGGAGTCAGTCTGGGAGAGACTAAAGATGTCGAGATAGCCAAAATCTACAAAAGCCACCTGAAAGAAGCAACCAGCCAAGTACCTTGAAAACTCACACAAAATATTGGCTTGATTTGGAGTATGTATCTTTACTATTTGTGACATCACGACATTGTCTTGTAATTATATTTTAAAAAATGTGAGAAAGTTTTAAGGTAGCCAGTTAACCTAGGCTAAAGAACGTGTGATTTTTATATTGTCAGCTTTTCGCAATTAATCAAACCTGATATGCCACTTTTAAAACAAATAATGGTGATTGCTGAATATAATGGTTGTTCCTTGTGCCTGACTCAGGACTGACAGAGCATTTCAGTCTGTGGCACCTAGAATATGGAATATTCTCCCACTCCAGCTTTGTTTAGCTCTCTGTGAGCTCCTTTAAAAAGGATTGTTTTGTTTGTTTCTTTGTTTCAATTTAAAGTTACAGTAAGTAAACATTTTTACCTCTAGATGTCAGTAAATTTCAGTCAACTGAGTTTTGCTTTCTTACCCATCTCGATTCAAATGCATAATCCGAGCTACAGTTGCTGCAATATGAGAAAAATGTTTTAGCCAGCCAAGAGAGATCAAAGACATTATTTTTAGACTGTACTCCATAATCGCCACAGCCAGCCAGTGTGTATCTACTATTGTTTGAGCTCAATTTCTTTATTCGTGTGAAGGCTGTCAGCCCACTGTTTACCTCAGCAGCCAATGA